CTGTTTTTATTTCTTCATATTTTTTAATATCACTTAAATCTTATAACAACCTTGAAAGACTCTTAATAGTATTCCTGTTTTACTCAAAAATGTTACATTCTTTGTTCAAATCACAGCTTAAAAGATCTGGGATTTGGTCTTAGATACGACTACAAACCATTGTTTTAAACTTACCATACGCCACCCAATATAATAGCAACCCCGATTTTGGTCTTAAACCTGAGACCAGGGCTTTTCACCTTTGGGGCACTACAGAGACATCAGTAAAAATTGTTTTAAATAGAGATGCTCTTTGTCCATTTTCACTGTCACTGAATAAAAAATCTTGGTAGATGGTTTTGATTGCATGCCGTTAATACAATGATGAACTTGATACTTAACGTTCAACTTTCTATTGGGTCATCACCTAGATGCCTACCAGAAACTTTGACTTTGACATGAACAAAACTGAACCTACATTCTCTCAAATCTCCCCTTCTTGTATTTCAGATATTGTTACTATGTCACCATTCACACAAAGATAGACAGTTGGGAGTCATCCTGGAATCCTTCTGCTCCTTCATTTTCCTTATCCTCTTAGCTCCAAATCCTATGGAATTTAGCTGGGAGATATCTGTGCTGCTACTTACATGTCCTGTCACCTCCAAACTAGCCTCCTTGCTTTTAGTCTCTCCACACTACAGTTCCATCCTACATCTTACTGCCTTCTTAATTTTTCTAAGAATGTTAGAAAAATGTTAATCATTTCAATCATTCTTTTATTGTCTTACAAAAAGGGAAGTGAGCTTTAAATTCCAGTCAAAATATCACAAAGCAAAACCATGGCAATTTAATGGTGTGTTGGCTATTTTCAAATTTTATCTTCTGCTATTTGACCTTTGAACTGTATTTAGGATGTGAGCAGATGCTGGTGGTACTTTTAGGAAATCATGAGAGAAGATTGAAGATGAGAGGGTTAAACACAAGGATTTCTGTTTTTCCCATTCTGAATTGTAATGCTTTTAAGTGAAAGTTGCTCAGTTGTGTCCAACTCTTTGTGACTCCATGGACTATACAGTCCATGGAATTCTCCAGGCCAGAATACTGGAGTGGGTAGCCTTCTCCTTCTCTAGGGGATCTTCCCAACCCAGAGATCTAACCCAGGTATCCCGCACTGTGGGTGGATTCTTTACCAGCTGAGCCACAAGGGAAGGCCAGGAATACTGGAGTGAGTAGCCTATCTCTTCTCCAGCAGATATTCCTGACCCAGGAATCAAACTGGGATCACCTATGTTGCAGGCAGATTCTTTACCAACTGAGCTACCAGGGAAGCCCCAGTGCTTGTAAAGAAAATCTCTAAAAGTAGTTTCATTGAAATGAAGAGCAACAAGGAATCAGACATCTAGGCTACGTGCTCAGTCGCTCAATTGTGTCTGACTCTTTGGAACCCATGAACTATAGCCCGCCAGACTCCTTTATTCCATGGAATTTCCAAGGCAAGAATACTGGAATGGGTTGTCATTTCCTTCACCAGGGGCTCTTCCCAACCAAGGGATCTAATGCACATCTGCACCTCATGCCTTAGCAGGCAGATTCTTTACCACTGTACCACCTGGGACCAAGTGTCAACCTTTTTATTGATACGATTTAAATAGTAAGCTCTGCCTTGAAGGTATCAATGTTTGGATATGTTTATGAATTAGTTGGTAATCCAGTTGTGTTTTTCAACTTGTGGGGCATAGATCTGGGGAGTTTGGCAATTTTATAGCAAGGAATTAGTGAATATGGATGCCGCTGTTTCATTGTCTACAAGTAATGTAATTGATACATCTATAAAATGTTTTTCAAGTGACTATAATGGTGAATGAAATAGAAACTTAATGTGTGACTAAAGTCATAGTAGGTTGTTTCATTATACATTTTGCTGTCAATGGATAGCCAATTACAACTACTCTCATGTGAATTGTTTAAAATTTAAGTTAGAAAGTGTTTCACATGCTTGAAAGGGTTAACAAGCATTGATTTAGTTGATACACAGCTCAAAAATTTACAGTTTTAAAAATATTTCAAGTGAAAATGCTGAAATGAAGATGGATATAGTATTCTGGAATTTCTGGAAAGATCTAAGTTTGCAATATAAATTTGGGAATCAGCATGCAAATATTTTTAAGGTCATGATTTTAGATTAGATTGCTGAGTGAATAATGACCATGGATTAAGAAAATAATAATAAGGGTGTCCAAGGACTAAACTGTAGGGCTCTCTGGTATTAAGGCATCAAGATGATGATAAAGAACCAGCAAAGGAGACAGAGTGCCTAGGAAAAAGAGAGGAAAATGAAGAGAACATGAATCCTGAAAGCTGAGCATTTAAAGGACAATGACTGACTATCAAATGTTGCTAAAAGGTCAGCCAAGGTGAGGACTAAGAAATGACCATTGGACTTTGAAATGTGAGGGTCCCGGTGACTCTGACAATAGTAATTTTTGTGGATTGTGGGAGAGAAGTCCTTTTGGAGTGAGTGTAGAAGAAACTTGGAGATGGGGGATTTCAGCCATTGGAAGAATTTTGCTGTGAGGTTAAAAAGAGAGATGGAGCAGTAGACAGAGGAAGAAATAGAATTACAGAGTCAAGAATTTGTTGTTGTTTTTAAGATGAGAGAAATAATACCGTGATCACACACTGAAGGAAAAGTTCCTGGAGAGAACCATTTCAGCTGTGTTAATACTACTAATTAGCCCCTTCCTGGTTTTATGCTGGATTACATATTCTTATAATTATATGTCTATTTTTAGTAATTAAGCTTTAGACTCCTAGGAATGCTGAATGCTATTTCAGTGAACTGCCTCTACCCTTTCTTCAAAGCACTGCTTGTTCAGGTCAACAGCAACGTCCTCATTAAGAGAGCTAATGGTTAATTTTCTGCTCCATAACTCCTTAATGTGGTGATTTTGATCCATCCTCCTACTTGTTCCAACTCTTCCATCAGCTTTCAGGCCAGTACTCTCTCCTGACTCTTCTTTCCCTTACCTCTACACCTTCTCAGTCCGTTTCGCCTGCTCATGCCCTGCCTGCCTCTTCAGGCATCTCCAAGGCTTTGCCTTTGATCGTTCTCTCTCACGTACTCCCTCCCACAATTATCACTTCCAATCCTTTGATTTCAGTTTTTACCTCTATTCGTGGTTCAATAACCTGTGTAATAATAATGGCATCTAACATTTACTGAGAGTTTACTATTATGTGTCAGGCACTTTGCTAATTTCTTTATCTGCCTTGTCTGCCTTCTACCCACACTAAAACCTCCTCTGAGTATTACTATCCTCATTTTCAAATGGGGACGTTTTTGCTCAGTAAGGCTCTGAATCTTGCCCCAATCCCAGGGAGTTAGCAAATGGCAGAACTTGGATTGAACTGTCTGTCTGTCTTGACTCTAAAGCTGTTACAGTTACTATGCTGTATTGTCATCTAAAAGTCTAACTCAGATCGCCCTAGTTTTAGGCTGGCGTATCCATCCAACTGCTTAATGGACATAGCTCAGGCCAGCACTCCAGTGTTCTTGCCTGAAGAATCCCATGGGCAGAGGAGCCTGGCGGGCTCCAGTCCATGGGGTCACAAAGAGCTGGACACGACTGAAGTAACTTAGCACGCATGCAGGCATTTCTGTCTTAATAGGCACTAACCTAAACATCACCCAACCCCTTCCCTACCCTGCAGATGCCCCTGTTGTAATATTTCCTCCTCTGACATTCCTCATTTCCTATTATGGTTTCTCCTTCAATCCAGTCCCCAAGTTTAGACTGTTCTGGATTTTCCCTCTCCCTCTCCCTAATACCCACTGTCTCCACATCCATCAGGTTCTGCATCCCAGCGTCACTGACATTCTCCTCTGCTTTCTCATTGACTTCCTGCTGGTAGGAAGCTACTCCCCATTGTAGTTGGTTCTCCCCACAGTTGTTGAGGTTAGCTCTTGAAAAAGTCAATCTGATCATTTCATTGCACTTACGAACCTCTCCTGACCCTTGTCACCTCCATTGTCATTTCCATTCTATTTACAGCATCACCCTCTACTTGCCCTTGCCACTCTCGCCTATCGGAGGCATCAAGAATGCACGTGATGAATTATTAACATATGATATACGTGGACACTCTTACATGCTGAAGAACACAAAATGAGTTTCAGAGTCTTCACTGAATTTTAAGTGGCTTATCACATATTTCTCAATCAACGGGAGGCTGATATACAACTACTGTTATATGTATAAACCGCTCAATATTTTGACATTAAAAAAGACATTCTTGTTTAGAACTACATACCAACAAGATTATTCTCATGTGAAACTCTTGTTTTAATTAATATTCTCAGCTAGAGCTGTTCTCTGGCTGTGGATCCTGCATATAGGGCATATTAATTTTACATAATAGAATTGGGTAAAATGGGAGTGACAGAGTGGGGATGGGTAAGTGGGAATGGAGAAGGATGAGGACACCTATACCAGAGTCTTTTCAAAACAGGAATAGAAGGAACTATATCTACATCCTTAATAACTGAACTAAAACAATTTTAAAAGTGCCTCTGCATCTTTGTTAGCTTCCAATAAAAAATGCAAGACCAGAAAAGAGATTTTACTTGATAATATGCTGTATTTTAACACAGCACAACCTGGATCTCACTTGTACCCTGAAATAAAAAGGATAATCTTCTTGTATAGATCAGTCTCCCAGACAAGAGGCCATGTGGGGTTGTGGACAAGGGATTCTGGGTTCAGGTAGCTTTGAGTTCAAATCCTGATAACTATGTGATCCCAAGTCCTGTCCTATCTCTGATTCTCAATTATCTTTAAATAAGGGGAAATCTTATTGAAAGGTAAATGTAAGGGTTTCTTAGATGAGAAATTAACACTTACTGATCTGAACTCCTACACTGGAATGCTGTAAATAGCTCATGTCTGTTTAGTTTTAACAGAATTGTAAGACTAGAAGAAACACCAAAGTTTGTTCATTTCTGCCTCATTATTTTACAGATGTGGAAACCCAAGAAGATCAAGAGACATAAACTATTTGTATACTTGTGAATAGACTTCAGTATTCTAGTTTTCTAACCTAGCATCATTAACACGCTTTGATGGAACTGTTCGGAGCTCACAGCTAGCTAGGAGACTCAGACTCAGACCCAGCTACCAACATTATAAGGCTGGAACATCAGCTGTAAGTCACGTGTGAGCCATAGGAAGGAAGGATTCATTTTTCTGAGGACCACAAGGAAAGTTTCATCCAGTGAATTATAGAGAGTGGACAACATTCTGTTCTTCTCACTTATTACACTGCAACTCACCATTACTAAATTCAACAGGTATTTAAGGTGTTATTAACATCAATGAAACTTTTTAATTATCATGCACTTTTTCTTAGTCAATAAATATCCAAGGACAGCTACTATCATGTAACTGTCTAACAACTATATAGTTTTTAAATTCTAGAAAATGGATCTACCTACAAAAAACAATTGAGAAAAAAACAATTCAGTAGATATTTCGAAGAAATTTAAAGACTTTATTTTAATTAATGCTCTCAAGGCTTAACAAATACAGTCTTGTGTTATCAATTACATTTGGGGGATGGGGAACAGGCCTACAGGTTTTACTTGACAGAGGAGGCTTTTATTCTGGTTCTAAAGAACCAGGGACTGAAGGTCAAATAATTTTAAATGCTCCCTGGCAGCTTTTAGCATGAGATTTCAGTATTCAATAATGAAATAAGATCATTATCTCAGAATGAGATAAGACATGGGAAAATAGGCTAACATAATTTAGTTTTCATTTGCATTGGATAATTGCTGCTGCTGCTAAGTCACTTCAGTCGTGTCCGACTCTGTGCGACCCCATAGACAGCAGCCCACCAGGCTCCGCTGTCCCTGGGATTGTCCAGGCAAAAACACTGGAGAGGGTTGCCATTTCCTTCTCCAATGCATGAAAGTGAAAAGTGAAAGTGAAGTCGCTCAGTCGTGTCCAACTTTTCGAGACCCCATGGACTGCAGCCTATCAGGCACCTCCATCCATGGGATTTTCCAGGCAAGAGTACTAGAGTGGGGTGCCATTGCCTTCTCTGTTGGATAATTGAGAGAACATGAATCATTTTCCATGCTAGTTTGTTGTTGATGTTTAGTTGCTAAGTCACGTCCAATTCTTTGTGACCCTATGGACTGTAACCCACCAGGATCCCTGTCCGTGGGATTTCTCAGAATATTGGAGTGGATTGCCATTTCCTTCTCCAGAGGATCTTCCCCACCCAGGGATAGAACCCACATCCCTTGCATTGGCAGGCAGTTTTCTTACAGCTGAGCCACCTGGGAAGCTTCTACTGTAGCTTAATCCACCACAAACTCAGTGTTATAACTTAAGACAGATGCATGGGGTCAGGTTGTGATAGGAAGCAGATGTCACACTCCAGTTAGAACTGATCAGAGAAGTGTGGACAGGGCTTAGGAGAGCAGGATGGCTCGGCACCTCAGCGCTAGGCCTGAGGAGGTGAGGAGGAAGCAGTGCCTGGAATCTGCAGATAAGGAGGAAAAGGGGGTCAGTAGACAGGAGCTGCAGGAGAGGAGCTTTGGGGTGGGTGAGCCAGGAAAAGAGATGTCCTTCTCCCTCCCACCCTCTGCAGCTCCTTGAAGTGGAGCCATTTTGCCACTCCCAGTGAAAGAGGAGGGCAGGGAAGCCAGGGCATAAGATTGAAAGTGGCTCTGAAGGGACAAGCAAAAGACATCCAGTACAGTACCAACAACCACACCAGGTAACATATCAAATGATATCTGTCTTCCGCTACCTAGATGAGGTGGAAAGGGAAATGGGATTTATACTATTATGATTCAGTTCTTTATGATTTAATGCAAACAGTGTGTGTTTGGCTAAATCTCTCAGTTTCTCTTATTTTTACATTATAAAATGTGGGTAGAAAATCTACTTTCCAAATTGTCCTTATTCTTGAGATAGTACTAATATATAGAATATGTGTGTGTGCTCAGTCGTGTCTGACTCTTTGCAACCACATGGACTGTAACCCGCCAGGCTCCTCTGTCCATGGGATTTTTTAGACAAGAATACTGGAGTGGGTTGCCTTTTCCTACTCCAAGGGATCTTCCTGACCCAGGTATTGACCCTAAGTCTCCTAAGTCTCCTGCATTGGCAGGAGGATTCTTTACCACTGAGCCATCTGGGAAGCCTGTAGTATACAGAATAGGATGTAGCAAAGTCTATTTGATGCTGAAAATTTAGGGAAATAAAGAACCTTAGAACTCAGTCCTCTATCATCTTTGTCATCAACTAGTGTCCACTGTTCTTAGGGAATTTATATCCTTGGCAATTACTGAACTAGTTGGGAATGTATTACATGAGGATATCAAACCTGTATCCTTGACAAGCATTGACTGTAGTCTGATCTCAGTATGTCTCTGCACATGTAATTTTACTATTTCTTAATTTATTTTGGTGCTGATGTGACCAGTAAAATAGAAATTTATCATAGAGTGTAATTAAGTCATGGGGCCTTGTTTATTTTTATCATAGCATGTTTTCTCTATCAAAGAGACTCTAAAAGTACACTACCTTCTTGTGGGGGCAGGTCAAGAAGACGTTTTTAAGCAAAATTCTATAAGGAATCTTTGTACTTAAAAGGTTTAGGGGCCACTCATCTATTTTGGATTTACGTATCAACATGACTTGAATCTTACAAAGAAATATTAGGCCTTAAATGTATTTTTCTGAGGGCAGGTCTTTCCTGGTTCTGCATAATAAATTTGAGGGCAGTACTGGTAGAAGTTCAACAATGCCTTTAAAATGGTGAGTCTCCATGCAGATAATAAATAGGAAAAAGTCTAATTTTAGGGTAATTCTCCAATATAAGAATGGGGATGAAATCTAGAAAATATATTTTGTCCTGAACAGAAACCATTCATGTTTAGCAAAAATAAGAGAGGCTATATTAGCCCTTTTCTCCTCTGTCAGCATTTCCAGTATAACCCAGGTCTTCTTGTCATTCTGTTCCACAGGCAGATGTGATGAAAAGAAAAAGGCCTGGGGATCCAGACAAACATGGCTTCACATCCTGGATCCACAACTATTAGGTGCGTAAATTCGGATAATATTCTTCTAGCTGGGTCTAAAGTAAAAATAACCAGATTGCAGTGCTGTGGGGTTTTTTGATGAGATAGTTGGTAATGTGGGGATGAAAGAATTGAGTTCCCTCCTTGGGTGCTATAACTCTTCAGAACTCTCATCACTTTAGTACTTAGAAATTTCAGGATTTGGAAGGACCCCTAGTAGTCTCTCACTTGCTTATTTTAAAGATGGACATGTAAAGAGGTTATAGGATGTATCTAATGATCATATTACTATATAAGTCATAAAATTCAGGCTGGAATGGAACTCAGTCCTTTTCCAGAAAGCGTAACTTGTCAACGACCAAATGTAATGAGTAATTGAATCGAATTGAGTCCATGTATCCACTGAGCCGGTCCTGGGACTCAAAAGGTGAAGAAGTCTACACAAGGTGACGATGTGGTTGTGCACCAATACAACCACAGAATACGTCTGACGACCCGTCACAGGACAAATACACTGAGCCATATGCTCAGAGGAAGGGGAAATGTAACTCTGAGGTAGAAGAACCTAATGAAATCTAACCTGCATTTAATAAAAGGTGGAGACCCTTCCAGCCATCTGCCTCAGTATTTATTAATTTAGCAAATATATGCGTATCCACAGCTATGTATCAGATGCTCTCTTATAGTAAGGAAGAAATAAAGTGCTAAAGATTTGGCAATTAAGGACATGAGGAAGATAAGCTGCAGAAGGCATACTGCAATCAATTACTGATAATTTCTCTAAGAACAAACCAGGTACGAAAGTTTAATGAATTTTCAGAACAGCAGGTAAGGCCATCCTACGTGTCAGTGGGGTACCTGGCCAGACCTCGGAGGTTATCCTTCCGCAGAGACACTAACACTTTAAGACGCTGGAAACAGCCGTTCCTCCGCCTCCCTCGCTCCGCATCCTGTCCTGGCCAGGCTACAGCGCCTTCACGCCCCGCGGGCCACGCCCCTGCGCGTTGGTTGGTCTTTCCAGAAGTGATGAAACTTCCCGCAAGCATTACAGGAGCCGGGAGGGTATAAAGTGAGGGGTGAGAGAAAGCCCCCACCCTGCAAGCTGCAGCTGGGCCCTTCCGGCCCACCCGCCCCACAGGAGCCCAGGTAGGCCCGGCAGCCGCGGGTCGCGGCGCCCTTGCAGCGAGCGTGCCGCAGGGCTGACCCCAGAGAGGTAGGAAGATGCGCGGCAGCCTGGCCCGCCCGAAGGGTGGGCAGACGCGGATCCCTGCACCCCGGGATGCTGCAGCTTTAGCCAGGCCGGGGAGGCGGGGCCGATTGTTGCGCACCTGGGAGCCAGCTGGGGCGGGAAGACCTCCGCTGTGGTCCGGGAGAGAGGGATCGCGTGGCCCCCAGAGAGGCGGCCCTGCGGCTCCGGAGAGACGGTGGCGGCGGTTTAAGTTGGCGCCTGTAAATTTCATTATTTTGTTATTGTTGTTATTATTATATTGCGTCGAAGACTGCGGAAATTTTTGCATTTCGAGGGTCCTGCCCTGGATGGGCTGGAGGGCGCACGTGGTCCGGGTGCAGCTGGAAGTCGCGGGGCCACGCGTTCCCTAGGCTCCGATCCTGGGGAGAGTGTCTCCTGGGCTGTCTGTCACGGCCTCGGATACTCCTTACCTCCGGCTTCCCACCCGGTTTTTCCGAGCTACCCCTCCCCCCATCTCTTGTTGCAAGACTCAACAAGTGACTTGCTGAGCAAATCCTGCCCAGAAGAGATCACTTTAGGATGACAGGCGGCGCGGTCTGGGAACAGGGAAAAAAAAAAAAAAAAAACCCGAAAAACTGGCAGGGCTTTTCTCAGTGGTTATCTGTTTTATAGGAATGGCTTCAAATTAATGTTGCTATTTTGAGTGAAGGAACACTTTCCGCCCCCAGCCTGTGGCCTACATTATTTCTTCACCATCTGTAGCCCGTGGTGCTTGACAAATAAACTCAGCTTTTTCATTGATTGATCGCATTCTTGTAAGATTCACTAGAGGTAACTTAGGTCTTGAAGCTGTGCAGGTGTTAGTTGCTGAGATCTTGAACTTCACCATAACACTTGATGTAATTAAATGTTTAAGTTTTTAAGTAATTAAATGCGCTGAAACAGCAGTCCAATTCGGTAACAGTTAGCCACAGGTGACTGTTGAAAACGGGAAATGCTGGTTAATCCGGATTGAAATTTGCTTTAAGTGTTGACGATTTAATAGAGAGAAGCAATGTAAAATATCTTATCGATATTTTTGTACTGATTTTACATGTTGCAGTAATAGTAATACTATTTTCAGTACATTGTGTTAAAATCTATTTAAAATTTCATTTTTTTCTCTTTTAACGGGGCTACTAGTTTATTCAGTATTACATATGTGGCTCACATTTCCATTGGATAGCACTGCTTTAGACTTTTATGAGAAAATATGGAAAATTACTGGGAACAGGTAACAGCAGTGGGAAAAAGCCTTGCCAAGTAGAATGTTTGCAAGTAAGACTGATTCCAATGAAAATAATTGGTGATAGTTTTAATTTGCTTTTCCTACTGCAGAAATGTGTGCTTTGCAATCATCTGTCTTCCCTCTTTCCCTCCAATTGAGTGCTTAAGTGTATTGCTATAGCACGATTAATGGGATTCACTAGCATTAGGAAGACCTAGGGAAATGAGTCACTAATGACCTCATGTGATTTTCAAAGCCCTTTCAGAGCCTATTTTTCATTGTATAGAGTCAGAGGTAGATGGCTTATTGACAGTCAACTCACTTAAATCGCACTGAATTTTCCTAGTAAATCTCAAAGTAAATCCAAGCAAACCTATTTAGTTGTGCTTTGCAGGTACTGCTTTTTTTTTCTTCAAATTGAAGGTGCATGCCAAGTCTGCATGGGCACCATGTTTCCCAACAGCATTTGCTCTTCTTGTCTGTCACATTTTGGTAACTTCAAATTTTATTACCCAAATCTGTGATAAATGATCTTTGAAGTTTCTATTACACAAAGCTTGCTACTTGCTGAAGATTCAGATTATGGTTAGCATTTTTTTAAGCAATATTTTTAAATTATAGTATGTACATTGCTAGACATCATGCTGTTGCACATTTAATAAATAGACTACAGTATAGTGTAAATAAAACTTTTATATGCACTGGGAAACCAAAAAGTTTATGTGACTTGCTTTATTACTAGAACCAAACTGACAGTGTCTGTATCTGGTTATAGGTATTTGGTCAAATGCCTGGAAGGGTCCACATAGAACATGTGATACTTCATGTCCAAGTTGTTTTAATACAGTTTTCCATTAATTTGGTCTGGTCTCCTGAAAAGGCCTAACAAGGCTGTGGTTCTTTGGCCTGTGAGGATGAACCACATTGTTCTTCCGAGATACTGCTCTGTCTGTCCCACCTACTTTGGTTCATTTAAATGTGAATGAAATGTCTTCAGAGGATTGTTCCAAGTGATTAATGTAACTTGAATATTTATATACTTTTTGATGCCATTTATCTAGGCATTTGCTACAAATCTGCATTTAAAAAATACGAAAATAGTTTCCAAGAGTTCCAGAAACTGAACAGGTCAGCAACTGAACTGAGCTGAACAGGTAAAGAGATGCATTTAGGGGACTTGCCTGGCAGTCCCTGGCAGTTAAGACTCCCAGATCGACTGCACAGGGTGTGAGTTTGATCTCTGGTTTTAGTTGTTGTTCAGTTGTTCAGTCCTGTCGACTCTTGGTGACTCCTTGGACTGCAGCACACCAGACTTCCTGGTCCTTCACTGTCTCCTAGAGTTTGCACAAACTCATGTCCATTGAGTTGATGATGCCATCCAGCCATCTCATCCTCCGTTGCCCTCTTCTCCTGCCCTCAAACTTTCCCAGCATCAGGGTCTTTTCCAGTGAGTTGGCTCTTTGCATCAGATGGTCAAAGTATTAGAGCTTCAGCTTCAGCATCAGTCCTTCCAATGAATATTCAGCATTGATTTCCTTTAGGATTGACTGGTTGGATCTCCTTGCAGTCCAAGGGACTCTCAGGAGTCCTCTCCAGCACCACAATTCAAAAGCATCAATTCTTGGACATTCAGCCTTCTTTATGGTCCAGCTCTCACTTCTATACATGACTACTGGAAAAACCATAGCTTTGATTATACCGACCTTTGTCAGCAAACTGATGTTTCTGCTTTTTAATATGCTTTCTAGGTTTGTGAGATATTCTTTGAAGGAACAAGTGTCTCTTAATTTCATGGCTGCAGTCTGCAGTGGGGGAACCAAGATCCTGCATGCCCATGGCACAGCCAAAAATTCTGAATAAAAAAGTAAAAGAAAGAGAGATACATTTATTCTCAAGACCTAAGAGGTGATTGTAGTATGCTGGAGCATCTCTTGGATTTTTCAGAGCTTTTGGGATTCTGGGATGAAGAGAGTAGACTAGGATCTCTGGGTGGGCTGGAGCCAGTCTGCATGTGTATCTGTGTCTTGGGTGTAAACCTAGGATAGAAAACAGAATATTGCCTGAACACTGCTAGCTTTAGCTGACCAAATCATAATGTCAGAGGGAAGCAGGCTTTGACTAGGGGCTAAACTGCTGTATATTATTAATAGCCGGCTGGATGTAAAGGTCATTTCATCTTTCCTGAATACTTGTAAGTAAATTAAATCATTCTCTTACCCTCTGTGCCTGCCAACCTACTGGTAAACTGCTGTGGATAAGATAACATATTTCACTCTTTGAAGTGGCTTATGCAAGTTTTGGGCATTGAGATTGAATGAAGACTTGGGTTGTATATTGACTATTTAACTGGCCTGCTTTTGTCTCCATAGAGAGCCCGGAGCTTCATCGCACCATGTGTGGCATTTGGGCGCTCTTTGGCAGCGATGACTGCCTTTCTGTTCAGTGTCTGAGTGCTATGAAGATTGCACACAGGGGTCCGGATGCATTCCGTTTTGAAAATGTTAATGGATACACCAATTGCTGCTTTGGATTTCACCGGTTGGCGGTCGTTGACCAGCTGTTTGGAATGCAGCCAATTCGAGTGAAGAAATATCCGTACTTGTGGCTCTGTTACAACGGTGAAATCTACAACCACAAGAAGGTAAACAGAATAAAACCAGAAGCTATCTGGATGTGATTAAGCCTCAGAGCTAGTTGGTTATAATAATTTTATTATTGTTTAATGTTTTTTACTTTTCAACCACTTCCCATGTTCATTCTCACTTGCTCCAATCATATATAGATAGACAGGGCACAGATGCACAAAGAGGTAGAATGACTTGGTCACCAAAAAATAAATAAAATGAGGATTCCATTTCAGGTTTTTAACTTTAAGAATCTTTTTTTCCCTATTATTAATTTGAATATTAATTATAACCTGTGTTAGGCACCCGGGGTGCAGTATAAATATGAGAGGTAGATCTGCATACTACTGGAGTTTATTCTATTAAGGAGCAGACAAAAAAAATCATTGTGCATATACTTGTGTTTTTGTGCACTCAGTCAGGTCCGACTCTTCGCGACCCCATGGACTGTAGCCCACCAGGTTCCTCTATCCATGGAGTTTTCCAGGCAGGAATACTGGAGCAGGTTGCCATTTCCTTCTCCAGAGGATTGTCCTGACCCAGGGATTAAACCCAAATCTCACATCTCCTGCATTGGTTGGCGGGTTCTTTACCAGCTGAGCCACCAGAAAAGCCCCGTACATATACTAAGCTTTATGAAAAAATGAATTTGGAGTTGATGGGTATGGGAGATCCAGTTTCAGTACAGGTTTGTCAGAGAAGGCCTCTTGAGGAACTGTCGTTTAAACTCAGACCTAATGGACAAGGATGAACTAGCAGGGCTGGGGAAAGCATTTTGTGCAGAGGGAACAGCATGTGTAGAGCCCTGGGATGTTCATAAGTGAGCAAGGGGCAGCTGGGCCAGGTGGACTTGGGGAGGTCGGGCAGGACCAGAGCAAGCAGGACTTGGTAAGACACTAGAATGTAATTCTAATAGCAATGAGATTTGAAGATTTTAAGGCAGGGATGATTGACTAAAAAAATAACGCGGAACCTAAAAGTTGAGAGTTAGGTTTTATTCTGTGGGAATGTTAGGACAGTATCTCTGGTGACTCCTAGAGGGCCAATCCTGAGGAGGTGGGGAGGAGCCAGGCTATATAATCTGAATATTAAAAGATTACTGTTAAGAAAAAACAAAATCTCTCACATGAAGTGTTTTAGGGATCTCCTATGTATGGGAAGATGGAAGCATCCAGGCTTGCTGAAATCATTTCTTCAGCATGCATCTAGCTATCTGGGGCCAATCCTTGTTTACCATCAGAGATGGCAGAAGTGGCCAATGGCCCACTCACACATCCTCCCAGCTCCTCTGGGCTTCCTGGAGAGGAAGTAGATGATGGCTCCCAAATAGCTGGCTTTGTTTCACCTGGGCTCGGAAATTTGCATGTGGAAAAGGCTTGTTTACTGTAGAGCATAAAACAAAACATTTCATTTCAGTCCGCCCTTAAAATGCTGCTGGTAATTGTTTTAATCAGAGCCAAGGGACAGACAGGTAGCCAGATGCAGTGGAGTGCAAGAGGGAAGCACTAAAATTGGAACAACTTTTAGTCTGGTGAAAGCGTACTCTTAGAATTAGAGTGGTGAGGGTGTGAAAATTATGACCCGAGGAAGCCACATTTGCTAAGAGCTTTGCAGTGTGGAATTCTTTGGGGCTAGTGTTTCATAAGAAAATTTTGAATCTAAAATTGGCAAGTTATTTTTTGTCGCTTGCCTCCCCAACTCTTAATTTTGAAAATTTCACTTTTATAGAAAATAACAGAATATAGAGCACCTGGATTGAATAATTGCTAATGTTTTGCCCTTTTGGCTTTACCTCTCTGTCTGTACTACACAATCAATTCTGGGCTTAATCACTTTAGAGTGTACCTAGGTGGTATAGAATCTGCCTGCTAATGCAGGTGACGTAGGTTCAATCCCTGGGTCAGGAAGATCCCCTGGAGAAGGGAATGGCAACCCACTCCAGTATTCTTGCCTTGGAAATCCCATGGACAGATGAGTCTAGCGGGCTATAGTCCATGGGGTCACGGAAGAGTTGGACATGACTTAGAGACTAAGCAGCAACAACTACACATGTACTACATGTATATCACACATATAGTATGTTTATAATATCCATTCCCATCCTCCATATAGTACAGAGGTACATTACCTTTCTCTTCTATTTTTCAGAATGCACCTAAAGTTTTCATGGGCTTAACTTTATGTTACAATTTGTTTCTGAGTTCAAACAAGTTATATTTTGATAATGCCATGATTCTTTTAAATCACATCACTAAGGTACACAAAATTATAGAGCACAAAAATGCTGAAGCAACTTTGCAATAAAAAAAAATTAATGAAAGCACAGGATTCTAACATTTTCATTTTGCTATTGTTTCCTTAAGCTGCAACACCATTTTGAATTTGAATACCAGACCAAAGTGGATGGTGAAATAATCCTTCATCTTTATGACAAAGGAGGAATTGAACAAACAGTTTGTATGTTGGATGGGGTATTTGCATTTATTTTACTGGATACTGCCAATAAGAAAGTGTTCTTGGGCAGAGATACCTATGGAGTGAGACCTTTGTTTAAAGCCATGACAGAAGATGGATTTTTGGCTGTGTGTTCAGAAGCTAAAGGTAATGATAGAATTTTTCTGTGGTTTTTCATTATTGTCCCGATTGTGTGTTTTCTTCTTGACCATATTTACAAATCTAATGCAATCCATATATATAAATGGGGCAACCCAATTTTTTACAAGTGACTATGTTAGTCATGGAGTTTCTAGGCCTCCTTTTTTTTTTTTTAAACCACGGAGTTGGAGTCTCCTTTTTAGCACTTAAAATTCTGTAATCCTTAAAGGATAGATCTGTGGTAAAGTCATATAATTATTGTTGTGCCAATAGGTTCTGCATCTGGTTTGATCCCATGTGTGTTTTCAAGTTTTCCTGTGTCACATGGTGACGGTAAGGTTGGCCAGCCCTGCAGTTACTGCACTGTGGTACTGTGCCAGGCTGTCCCACAAAGTCATTTTTATTTAGCACTTTTTAAGCAGCTTTATTGGGGTATAATTTTCATGCCATATGGTTCATCCATTTGAAGGGTACAATTCAGTGGTTTTTAGTATGTTCATAGATATCTGCATCCAACACTAGTCAATTTAGAATTATTTTTTTGTCATCTCAAAACTAAACCTTGTACTCTTAAGCTGTCACTCCCCACCCCTTTATATTCATTAAGCATTAAACTTCCTGTCCCGTCTACCTTCTTCCTCCTTCCCCACCCCTAGTCCCAGCCAAACACCAGTCTATTTTCAGTCTATGTGGATTTCCCTATTCTGGCCATTACATACCAGTGGAGTCATATCCTATGTGGTCTGGTTTTTGATTACTGGCTTCTTTCACTTGGCATAACGTTTCCAAGGTGTATCTATGTTGTAACATGTTATCAGTATTTACTTTTTTAATTTACTTTTTATGACCTGAAGATACTTCATAACCTGGATATACCACATTCTGTTCATCCACTGTTTATCCTTTTGTCAGTTGATGGACAATTGGCTTTTATGAATAATGCTTCTCTACATATATGGGTACAAGTTTTTGTGTGGTTTCATTTTTCTTGGGTATATACCTAGGAGTGACTGCATGATTTACTCTGTGTTTATAAATAGCATTAAAAAGAATAAAATACTTGGAATAAATGTAACAAAAGTACAAAATGGTGTGCTGAAAACTATAAAACATTGTTGAAAGAAGATCTAAAGAAATTGGAAAGCATCCCATGATCATGGATTGAAAACTTACCATTGTTAAGTTGGCACAGATTCCCCTAATGGATCTACAGATTCAGCATGATCTCTGCCAGTATCCTAGGTGATTTTGTAGAAATTGACAAGCTCACTTTGAAATCCATAGGGAATTGCAAAGGATTCAGAATAGCCAAAGCAATCTTGAAAAAGAATAAAGTAGGAGGACTCTCCCTTCTTGACTTCAAAATGTACTACAAAGCAGGGGTAATCAGGACAGTATGGTACTGGCAGAAAGATAGACATACCGACCTTAGAACTAAGAGTCCAGAAGTGAATTCATATACCTGTAGTCAACTGATTGTCAGTTAGGGTATCAGGACCATTCAATGGACAAATAATAGTCCAACAAATGATGCTGGGACAACTTGACATATGGAAAAAAAAAAGTTAAACCATTACCTCATTACCTCATACCATTTATAAAAATCAAAGTGGATCAAATTCTAAAATTTGATCTCTAAGCACTAAAACTTCAGTAAAACTAAAACTTTAGTAAGCACTAAAACTATAAAACTCATAGAAGAAAGCATAGTGGTAAATCTTCATGACCTTCGATTTTGCAAAGATTTCTTTGATATGACACCAAAAGCACAAACAATGAGGGAAAAATAGATATATTGGATTTTATCAAAATTAAACATTCTTGTACTTCAAAGGACACCATCAGGAACATGAAAACTCAACCCACAGAGTGGAAGAAAATGCTTGAGCATCATATTTATCATTTTTTGACAATAAAATTGAGGAAGACATCATTTATGTCTTAGCTAGACAGCAATGACATGCTAAAATGTGATCTACCTCCTTGTCTGCCTTTTTGCTTCATTGTTTAAATCCTTTCTCACTTCATGTGATCATACGAGGAAGAGCGAGTATATACATTATTTACCCAAAGTGCTATTAGGGAAGCCCAACAAAGAAAACACAAGGGGAAAGTAGACTCCTTCCTTCCACTCTGTCTCTGATAACCTTGATACGGACTTATAATCTCACATCCAGTTTGCCCTCTGAAATTTCTTGACTTGTAATTTTTTTACATCTTTAACTGCCCTTTTCTAAACAACAGGATCTCATCTAGGGTACTGTAGCAGTTTTCCTTTCTCAGTGCTTCCAGAGTAGACTATCTAAAACTCATCTGGTCGTGGTGCTTTAAATTATAATTGCTCCTCAACTTCCTCGGGGGCTGTGTGCCCACTTGAGGTCTGCTAGTGGGTAGTAGGATCTGGGTCTCATTTGCTGTTTGAATTCCATACTACACAGTAGATTCCTGGGTTAACAAACTCAAATTGTACATCGTAAGTATTCTGTGTAGATAGGCTGTTACTATTTACAATAAAACTTTTTTTTTTAATCAAAATCATGGTGATGTCAAGTTGGTTACTTCCTGTGAGAACTTAGAAAATTTAAATTATAACTTTTAACTCACACACAGTATATAATAACTACATAAGGGATATCTGAGTTTAAAGTATCAGTGGATCATTTTGCTTATTAAAGGACTGAGAACCATAGCTGTTTTTTTAAAAATACCCCAGTGATGACAAATGACTGCCAGGATATCATAAAATTAAATTTCAAGTCCATCTTTTTGTTTAATAAATATATCATATGTTTGCTTAGTAAAGAAAATAGATTTTTTAAAATTAGAAATTCCAGCTAGGGAGAAGAAATCGAATATTGGAGGTTTTCCTATTGCCTTAAATTATTAGAAATCAGTGTAATTTTTCTGTATATCTCTGTACACTATTACCTTTCTAGTAGGGTTTGAGGTAATTATATTTTTCCTATTTTGCTTATGCAGTGGATGTTGTATTTGTATTAAAAAAGAGAAGATAAAGAGGAATTTAGACATGAAAGATACTATGAAGTGTTATCCTCATTTGAATAAATTTATCTTTTTGATTTTGTAGGACTGGTTAACCTGAAGCACTCCAAAGTTACTATGAAGTGTTATCCTCGTTTGAATAAATTTATCTTTTTGATTTTGTAGGACTGGTTAACTTGAAGCACTCCATGACTCCGTTTTTAAAAGTGGAGCCTTTTTTCCCAGGACATTATGAAGTTTTGGACTTAAAGCCAAATGGCAAAGTAGCATCGGTGGAAATGGTGAAATACCATCACTGTAGAGATGAGCCCCTGCATGCCCTGTATGACAGCGTGGAGAAACTCTTCCCAGGTGAGAGCAGATGCCCATCCACCTGTTCCCACCTCTTGCCCCCAGAGGAAAACTGTACTCTCCCATCATTGAAATGACATCAGTTTGCAAATCTGTTTCCTTTTTAACTTGGAGGCGATGGCACGCTGAAATTTGGCCTGCTTCACTGTTGAGCAAATGCCACCATGATAGAGGTGGATGACTGCCTACCTGTTTCAATAAACGATTCACCCAGACCTTTCTGCAGCTGTTTCATTGCCTTTATGTGTTAATAGGTTTTGAGATAGAAACTGTGAAGAGCAACCTCCGGATTCTTTTTGACAATGCTGTTAAGAAACGTTTGATGACGGACAGAAGGATTGGCTGCCTTTTATCAGGTGAAGTCAGCTTAAAAAATCTAATTACATTTCATGCATATGTAGTTTAAATGATTTATAACTATCCTGGAGGCTTAGACTATAAAATACTTACTATTGATTCAGTCTTTCCTCCATTATAGGATGAAAAAGTTTTCTGTAAGTTGTTTTCAATATTCAAAATAATACAGCAACTTAAAGTTATACTATAATTATATTGGCATGAATGAGCTAGTAAACATGTTTTAGAATGTTCACGTCCTCCTACTCCACAGTCTTGATGTAAGCCCTAGAATGTGTAGTGTTTTTTGTCATTCAGTTACTCACTAAGTAGTGTCCAACTCTTTGCAACCCCATGGACTGCAGCATGCCAGGCTTCCCTGTCCTTCACTATCTCCTGGAGTTTGCTCAAACCCATGTTCATTGAGTCGGTGATGCCATCCAGCCATCTCATCCTCTGTCATCCCCTTCTCCTCCCGCCTTCAATCTTTCCCAGCATCAGGGTCTTTTCAAATGAGTCAGCTCTTCACATCAGGTGGCCGAAGTATTAGAGCTTCAGCTTCAGCATCAGTCCGTCCAATGAATATTCAGGGTTGATTTCCTTTAGGATTGACTAGTTTGATTTCCTTGATGTGCAAGGGACTCTCAAGAGTCTTCTCCAACACCACAGTTCAAAAGCATCAATTCTTTGTCATAGTGGCTTTTAACCAATTCAAGTACTGTTACCATTATGACAGGTTAACTGTTAGATTTTTCTTACTCAAGTTGATTTTCAGTTTATAAGACTTGGGGAGTTTAAAGGCAAAACTCTAATCTTGGTGCTTAGGAGGAATGTAAATCGTATCTGCTCCTCTCTTAGGTAAGGCCCATAACCACCACACTTTCTGTCTTGCTCATAGGTGGCTTGGATTCCAGTTTGGTTGCTGCCACTCTGTTGAAGCAGCTAAAAGAGGCCCAAGTACAGTACCCTCTCCAGACATTTGCGATTGGCATGGAAGACAGTCCTGATTTACTAGCTGCTAGAAAGGTAAGACACTGCCTTTTCCTATTAGGTAGTTGAGACAGACTTGTTAATAATTGATGGTTCTATACTTTGCTGCTGTATTGACTTAGGTAATTGTTTTGAATTAAATATATTAAAATGGAATGAAACGCCTATTGAAAATCACTTGTGCTGTACACTGTATTTTGGGTACTTTTATCTTCTATGGGCCATGCAATCCTCATAAAACCCAATGATGGTAATCCTGGGTAAGATTGAAGAATAAGGGCATGGTAGAGTGGTTAAGGCTGAAGGCTTTGGAGCCTGATTGTTGGTTTCAAATCTTCACTTTAGCACACAGTCCCCCACTCCTGTAGTGGGAGTGCTCGTATCTACTGGGGCACAGGTTTGAGGTGAAAATTACATAGTTCATATAAAGTGTGGGATAGAACCTAGCATGCAGTAAGTACTTGGAATGTTAGCTGTTCTTGTTGTTTTCATTTCCTTTATGAGATACTGTATTTAGGACTGTGGGCAGAGAGAACGTTGTACACATTCAGTGTGTGGCAGACCTTGTTCCCACTCTGATAGAGCTTCCATAGAGTGGACGAGAAAGATCAAGAGTGGTCCAAAAGCCACTGAATCACTGATACTGAATGAATCTGAAAGAGCCAGAAAAAACTGAATGAGGGGAGGGGCCATTTAATTTAGGAATGGCATTCTAGATGTACAATGAGGCGTTGCAGGAGGGCCAAAGGGAGATAAAATCAGCACAAGGGGAGTGGAGGGCATGCTTGTTAGGGTGAAGGCTTGGAGTGAGAAGGGCAAACAGGAGGCCTGCCTCTTGTGGTCAGTGGAGGGCAGACACTGGGGGACACCGGGGAGCCAGACTAATGGGGCTTGTATGCAGTGTCCTGGAGAATCATTTCCCCTTACTGTGGCGGCCTGTGAAATCATTTCCTCTTAGTTTGTCTTACTTGTTTCCCACCATTGTTAATTCATGATGTGTTATGAACTACTGTGGTCTAGCAGTTAAGACTGAGCTTCCAACGCAAGGGGCATGAGCTTGGCCCCTAGTCAGGGCCCTAAGATCCCACATACTCTATGAAAGGGCCAAAAAAGCCACAGCTTTTTCTTGAAAGAGTAGTCCTTTTCTTTAAAGAACAAGCATATGCATATTTCCTCATGTAATCAGGTGGCAAATCATATTGGGAGCGAACACCATGAAGTCCTCTTTAACTCTGAGGAAGGCATTCAGGTCCTGGATGAAGTCATATTTTCCTTGGAAACTTATGATATTACAACGGTCCGTGCTTCAGTAGGTAAGGTATTTTATGATCCCCCAAAGATTTTAATACTGAAAAGAGTGTAAGGTTTAAAAACTACTATTTCAAGCAGTTGTTTAAAGAACAGTACCTAAGAATGAACTCAGGTAAAATTCCTGTGTCAGCCGTTGTTGAAGACGAAACGATTTAAGAATTCCTTAATTCCTTAAGAATTAAGAATACATAGTTAAACTTCCACATTTTGGTATCACTATATTTTAAAGAGGAGATACATAGTTTCTATGGCCTCTTTCCCCCTGTTTCTCTGTATAAAAGTTTGTTGGACTATATGTTCTAACTAGTTTCTGTAAGGAATCCTTGTTTTAGATATATTTTGGTAAATAGTCCATCAGTAACTATTACTGTCTAGGATTAAACACTTGCTTTACCCTGTGGATACATACTGAGATCATAACTGTACTCCAAATCAGACTGGTCAAATATTGCTGAGCTTCTGAACACTACTGGCTTAGACACACCTCTCTTTTAAGGAACTCAGAATCCAGTAGGATTCCATTGCAAAGTTTAGAGTCTGCATTCTCATGCTTTAAACTTTGCAGTAACATCACTGGGGTGCTCTCTCTCCCAAAAGGGGCAAAAATGAGTTCTTGAAGGGCAAAAATCTTAGGTATTACAGTGGTTTCTGGCTTTCCAAAGTACTTAGATATACAGTATTTCTGGTACTAATATTTCATTGGTGAAGGAGATTAGGGGAAAAGATCTAAAAAGTATCACTAGGGAGATAATAATGAAAAAACCTGTTAAGAACAAATACTAGTTTACAGGGCTGTGGAGCAGGAACCAACCAACATCTTTTAATGATATAACATGCTTTGCTGTATTTGAAATACGCTGAATGGGGAGTAAGTATGAGGGAAGAAGCCCCAAATTAAAATTAAGCTACCAAAACCCCAATTTATTATTTTCATGTAGTGATACTAGTGTGAGAGTTATCAAATTTAAGACATTTGAGTCATTGTTCGGCAGAATTTTTTTAGCATTTTTAACATTGTTTAGCAAAATTTTCAGATAGACATTCTTGGTCTGAAAGCAGGAATATGTAAAAACCTACATATAAAATTATGAAAGAGCTATGTCTTCACAGCAGTACAACTTTTAGATTAAGTACATATAAGTGGTTTGCACTATAGATAAAAGGTCATTATTTTGCAAACTACTTCACAATAACAGAGTCTAATAGCAAAGCTTGCCGCCATTTGAAACAAAATAAGAGGCATTTTTGGTAGAGGGTTATGTGGACATTAACAATAATTTCTGTCTCTTGTTTAAGGTATGTACTTAGTTTCTAAGTACATTCGAAAGAACACAGATAGTGTGGTGATCTTCTCTGGAGAAGGTTCAGATGAACTTACGCAGGGTTATATATATTTTCACAAGGTACGCATTCTCAAATGGAAGGATATTGGTCCTGGGGAAGAAAAGTATGAATTATTTGACCATTTTCTATTGTCTTTTTTGATATAACAGTGACACTTGGAATATTTTGTGAGGTATTTGAGAAAATCTAATAGTGTCTGTATTTGTTTGGGTGAGAAAGAAGTCTCAATTGTGTCAGATAATACCCGCTTTTTAAAAACTAGTTAACATAAGAATCACATTTCTGGTATTTCTTGGTCCCCTGCTGTCTTACGGGCTTTGGACAACGTGAACCCGTCATTTTATCTGTCGGTTCTAGCAGTCTTGGAACGAGGGAAGGCATGCTTTATAAAGCATTTACTTTCTTCTCTAAGCTTGGGTGGTCTCTTGTCTTACCCACCTTTAGAGTTGGAGTTGTGTGCAAGAATAAGAAATAAGAAATTTCATGTACCAAAAGCAAAGCTTGAAGGGTGTATTTTTAACTTCAGCTCTGTTTGTACACAGGCGCCTTCCCCGGAGAAGGCCGAGGAGGAGAGTGAGCGGCTTCTGAGGGAACTCTACTTGTTTGATGTTCTCCGAGCAGATCGAACTACTGCAGCCCATGGGTATCTTGATATTTCAGGAAGTGATTATAAAAACCTCAGAAAACAAAAGACTTTCTTTTCATTTAGTATATGCTGTGAAGTATGCCTTTTATAGAAAAGAAGAAGCTTGTCACATAGTGCAGAGGGAGTAAGTGAAATCAGAGTGCTGTTGTCAGGGTGAGAGTACATGGGTAGGTGGCTTCAGGTGGAGTTTCTGTCTTGAAAACATAACATTCTCCATACTTCTGGGCAGCTGAGAGGGAAGGCACTTGCAGCTCTTTTGGGTCCTTTTAAGAGAAATAAAGCTTATACAGCTTCATGTAGTTTAGTGAGCCTTGCGGGCTTGCCATGTCTGTTTGATGCTATGGGGACCATGTAGGGGAGAGGGAAGTGAAGATGCAAGAGATTTGATTAGCTTATAGAATAGGTTTCTTTGGTATCATTTCTGATTATTGAAAGTTGCCACTTTTTAAAGCTGGTCATTTAAAGACTTAACCGTATGTGATGGGGCTTCCCTGATGACTCGGTGGTAAAGAATCCCCCTGCCAGTGCTGGAATGGCAGGTTCAATCCCTGGGTCAGAAAGATCCCCCGGAGAAGGAAATGGCAACCCACTACTCAAGCATTCTTGCCTGGGAAATCCCATGAACAGAGGAGCTTGGCTGGGTACAGTCCATGAGGTCGCAAGAGAGTCAGGCACAACTTAGTGACTAAACAATAACAACTGTATGTGATAAACAATCTTTTTCGGTTGCTTCTACTAAATCACACTTAGGTTAGACACTAATAGGGGGTTGGATAATGAACTGAATTCAGACACTTTTATTACTAATTGATTAATAACTTATATTCAGTATAAATCAGTGTTCCATGGTGTTTCATCAGAGGTCACATCATCTGTTTTTTGAACCCTGGTTAGGACAGGTAGATAAGATAATAGTCACAGATTGGCGTTACAGTTTTTAATAGGATAATAGATAGTCTCACCTAGAAAAAACTATGACTTAGAAAAGTCTAGGCAAAGTCCATTCTTAATGTTCAGATCGCTCATAATTCTTCTTCTGCTTTTTGAGATATTTAATAGATTACAGAAGGGAAAGTAAAAGCAATTATTCTCCAGTAGTTTGTTTCACTCCCTAGATGACATAGTACATATTTTGAATGAAGGTTTTTGTACTCATGCATGTAGTGTAGGGCAGTTATGTAGGACTGTAAAAAGGACTTTACGATCTTAACATCATTTAGAGGCTGGGTGAACTCCTAGGAAACTAAATCAGGATCTAAACGATGGGCACTACAGACCCGTTTGGATTTAGGTTTTCTCTTCCTTTTTAAGCCTTGAACTGAGAGTCCCTTTCCTGGACCATCGCTTCTCATCCTACTACTTGTCTCTGCCGCCAGATATGAGAGTTCCCAAGGTGGGTAAATCGCTGGGGGTGAGGACTGCCCACTGATGCTGCTGATCTTTAGAGCTTTTACTGACACTGCTTTCACTTTCATGTCAGAATGGGATAGAGAAACATCTCCTGAGAGAGACGTTTGAGGACTCCAACCTGATACCTAAAGAGATTCTCTGGCGACCAAAAGAAGCCTTCAGTGATGGAATAACTTCAGTTAAAAATTCCTGGTTTCAGATTTTACAAGACTATATTGAACATCAGGTATCATATCTTTTAAAAGTATATTTTCTGGAATAAGACAATTGGATGCAAAGTTGTAATCACTGTTCATTTTGTATTTAATTTAAATATTTTGTGACTGTAGGAGGGATTCCCTATAAATATTACTTCTTTTAAATTTCAAGAATTCTGTGAAAATTAAGTAGCATGAAGGATTATAAGTAGCATCTAGAATAGAGAGGAGACTTACTGGTCCTCTCTGACTTTTATCTTACACATTTTGGGGCACCTATTGGATGCTAGGCTTTACGCCCAAAAGAATCAAACACTTAGAGCCACCACTTTGGAGAACTATGCATGTGAATGTTCCTTAAAGATCGCTGCAGCTATGTACATTAGGTTATTTTAGCATTTGCTAAGGGATTAAAAGAGTCTCTCAGTGTTCAGAGAAGTCTTTTCTTTTTTTTTGTTTGTTTGATTTTAGTTTTTGTGAAACCAGATTAAATACATATATTTCTGTGCCATTTAAAAGGCCATTTCGCTTCTATCTTGTTACTCTTACAGGTTGATGATGCAGCGATGGCAAGCGCAGCCCAGAAATTTCCCATCAATACCCCCAAAACAAAAGAAGGCTATTACTACCGTCAGATCTTTGAACACCACTACCCGGGCCGTGCCGACTGGCTGCCCCATTACTGGATGCCCAGGTGGACCAGCGCCACAGACCCTTCTGCCCGCACTCTGACCCATTACAAGGCCTCTGCCAAAGCTTAGGCACTTGCTCAGGCTTGGAGTCAAAGTAATAATTTCTTCTCCTTGTGAAGGGTAGGAGTCTTGAGGGCAGGAAGTGCCAACTGCCCAGGCTTGCTTGGGTGTGAAAAAATAAAAGTCTTAAATCCGAGACATTGCTGTAGTCATTTATATTCATACAGCCCCGTGACCAGAGGTAGCTAGAAACTGAACAGCTTTTGCTGTATCACAGGAAGGTAGAGAGTGAGATAAGGGAGGGGAAACCATCTGACGGCTGGGAGACCTCACACACCCTCTCCTGTAGAAGACTCCTGGGTCTCATGCCAGTAGGGCATCCTTATGGTCCTCCCCTCATCTGAGTGCGGTCCTCCTCTGGCTTCCTCCCTTAGTTCTCTCTGCATTCCCAATGGCTGGCTAGTTACACTCTGGAGAGGTGAGTAACTTGTAAGACTTGGACAGCTCTGTTTTGTAAAATAGGTTGACTGGAAACTGCACAGCCTAAAAGTTGAGAATTGTGTTTTATTAGGTGGAGTCTCTGACTTAAGCCCTGAAGACAGCCTCTCAGATGGCTCTGAGGGACCACTCCAAAGAGGTAAGGGGAGAGGTAGGATATACAGGAGTTTTTGCCACAAAGCCAAGCAGTCTGACATGTCAGCAGATGACTAGCAGAGAGATCCAGGTATCTCAAGTTGATGAATTTAGCACTTTTCTAGGTGTGGGGAGATGCAAGAGTCTGGCCTCACTGAAATGATTCCCTTGATATGCACCTCAGCTATCAAGGGCCAGCACCCTGCTTTTCTCCAATCCTGAGCTGTACAGTTGGGTGGCGGGTGGCTGATAGCTTAGTGGCTGTGATGCCCTTCATTTACTGACACATCAGGCAACAGTTTTCATCTATGGACAGTAATCTACATCTTATTCTGTTGATCTGACATCTCTTCTGGAACTATTGTTGTAAATTGGGAGTCAGCAGGATTTTTCAGGGCTAGACAGTAAATGTTTTAGGGCTTACAGACCTCTGTTGGAACTGTTCGGCTCTGCCATTTTGGTGTAAAAGCAGCCACAGGTGGTATGGAAACTCGTGGGCAAGGCCATGATAGGCACACACATGGGCATGGCTGTGTTCTATTAAAAGTTAGAAAAACAAGCAGTGGGCTGGATTCAGCCCATAGGCCAGTTTCCCAAGCCATGTTCTAGAGCCACGTATTTCTCATAAAAGGGAAAAGCATTCTGAACCCAGTTGGAGGAAGAGAAAATGTAACAATGAACAAGTCACTTTTCATTTGAATGCTCATTGGTTGTTTAGAGACTGGATTGTGAAGTCTATTTTAAAGGTGAGTTTATTTATCAGAAATTTTTGAAGGGGAAACTCCTGGTGCACAGGTATATACAAGAATGATTGATGGGGAGAGTGAGTAGGCCAGGAATTTAGCCGGTAAGTTGGAAACTGGACACTGATTTAAGGTGAGCTATAGGCCTTTGCTTATTTTTACAGAGTCTCTAAATATATTTTGACATAAATCGTACCCATGTCATCTTAGATCAGTCTCCCAAAGTAATAGAAGTAAAAGCAAAAAGAAACAAGTGGGACCTAATCAAACACACAAGCTTTTTGTACAGCAAAGAAAACCATAAAGTGAAAATATGACCTATGGAATGGGAGAAAATGTTGCAATGGACCAAGGGCCTAATTTCCAAAATAACAACCCAATTGAAAAATGGGCAGAAGATCTAAATAGATATTTCTCCAAAGAGGACATTCAGATGGCTAATGGGCAACACCGTTAATTATTAGAGAAATGCAAATAAAAACTGCAATGAGATATCACCTCACACTGGTCAGAATGGCCAGTATTAAAAAGTCTATAAATAACAGGTGCTAGAGAGAGTGTGAAAGAAAGGAAACCCTCTTGGTGGGTTGGTGGGAATGTCAATTGTTATAGCCACTATGGAGAACAGTATGGAGGTTCTTCAATGAAAAATAGTTGCCATATGATCCAGCGATCCCACTCCTGGGCATATATTTGAAGAAAACTCTTAACTCAAAAGTATACATGCATCCTGATGTTCAAATCAGCACTATTTACAATAGCCAAAATGTGAGAACAACCTAAACACCCACACACACACTGGAATATTCTGTTCAGTTCAGTCACTCAATTGTGTCCAACTCTTTGTGACCCCATGGACTGCAGTACACCATGCTTCCTTGTCCATCACCAACTCCCAGAGCTTACTCAAACTCATGTTCATCCAGTCAGTGATGCCATCCAACCATCTCATCCTGTCATCCCCTTCTGCCTTCAATCATTCCCAGCATCAGGGTATTTTCAAAAGAGTCAGTTATTTGCATCAGGTGGCCAAAGTATTGGAGTTTCAGCTTTAGCGTCAGTCCTTCCAATGAATATTCAGGGCTGCTTTCCTCTAGTATGGACTGGTTGGATTTCCTTGGAGTCCAAGGGACTCGAGTGTTCTCTAGCACCACAATTCAAAAGAATCGATTCTTCGGTGCTCAGCTTTCTTTATAGTACAACTTTCACATCCATACATGACTATTGGAAAAATCAAAGCTTTGACTAGATGGACCTTTGTTAGCAAGGTAATGTCTCTGCTTTTTAATATGCTGTCTAGGTTGGTCATAACTTTTCTTCCAAGGAGCAAGCCTCTTTTAATTTCATGGCTGCAGTCACCATCTGCAGTGGTTCTGGAGCCCCCCAAAATAAAGTCAGTCACTGTTTCCATTGTTTCCCCATCTTTTTGTCATGAAGTGATGGGACCAGATGCCATGATCTTAGTTTTCTGGATGTTGAGTTTTAAGCAAGATTTTTCACTCTCCTCTTTCACTTTCATCAAGAGGCTTCTTAGTTATTCTTCACTTTCTGCCATAAGGGTGGTGTCATCTGCGTATCTGAAGTTATTGATTTTTCTCCTGGCAATCTTGATTCCAACTTGTGCTTCATCCAGTACAGCATTTCTCATGATGTACTCTGCGTATAAGTTAAATAAGCAGGGTGACAATTTAAGCCTTGACATACTCCTTTCCCAATTTGGAACCAGTCTTGTTCCATGTCCATTTCTAACTGTTGCTTCCTGACTTGCATACAGATTTCTGTGTGTGTGTGTGTGTGTGTGTGTGTGTGTGTATAACACACACACACATATATACATATATGTATGCATATATGAGAATATACATATATACATTCTCATACATACATATGTGAGAGGTTGTCTTAGTTTGGTCTGAAGTCTGATAGGTCCTTGGAGGGGGGTCCTCACAGGAGAAAAAGGCAGCCACAGGGAGGCAGTTCCATATCGCTCTAAACCACAACATCAAGCACATACCTACCAACTGGTCTAGTATTAATACTTTATTGCATTAACTCATTCAGTGAGTTAACCTTCACTCTGAGGAAGTGGGGAAGATTTTATTTTCTAAAAGTGGCCACATCGGTATTCTCTAGTCCCACAGACTGCCAGAGCCTTGCTGTGCCTCTCAAGAGGCAGTCTTTTTCCCACCGTCCTGAGCCTGGGCGGAATTTTATGAGTACCTTGACTAGTAGAATCAATTAGTAAGTGACTTCTGAGGCTAGGTCACACAAGGCATTTTGCCTCTGCTTTTTCTCTAGATATGTGTTGTAAGCAATCCCAGCCACATGGAGAGGCCGTGTGTAAGAGTTAGGGCTGTCAGTCCCAGACACCGTCTCAGAGTCCATCACTAGGTGTGGGGTCAGTGAACCTCCAGATGATTTCAGCTCCTAGTCTGAGTCTGCCAGCTGAGACCTCAGCTGTGGGAGCAGAAATAAGCCATCCATGCTGTGCTCTGTCCAAATTCCTGACTGATCAGTCCGTGAACCTAGTAAATGGTGATTGGACACCATTACATTTTGATAAGGTTTCCTTACACAGACAGTAGCTGAACAGGTAAGCCCTGTTATCTCTATTTGACAAAGTTTAAGTCACTTCCCCGGGGCTTCCCAGGTGGCACTAGTGGTAAAGAATCCACCTGCCAATGCAGGAGACATGAGAGGAGGGTTCGATCCCTGGGTAGGGAATATCCCCTGGAGCAGGAAATGGAAACCCACTCCAGTTTTCTTGCCTGGAAAATCCCATGGACAGAGGAGCCTGGTGAACTACAATCCATGGGACCACAAAGAGTCTTGCATAACTAACCGGCTGAGCATGTATGTGTGCACACACACACACACACACGTACATCACTTGCCAAAATCATTCAGATAATTACTAAGTGGTGAAGTCCCAAGTTAGCCAGACAGATTGGCTCCAGAGGCTTTGTAGTGTTCTTTCCTGACAATCCTCCCATTGCCAGCATGAAACTACAGCCTGGGTCTCTGTTGTGAATTAGGAACTAGGGGGAAGGGCCTCCTTGGGCTTGAGTTGGGAGCAAGAGCAGGGAGAGCTGGGTTACTTCCCAGGGCAGCACAGTGATGATAATCATTTTCTATAAAGGGTTAGATGATGAGAAAATCCAAAATTTCAGTGCATTTCAATAACAGATGTTATTTCTTGCTCAAACTGGGCCTCTGGTGGGTTCTGCTCGGTGTTGAAGGGTCATTTCACCCTGGGATCCAGTTGATGGAAACACAGTTTGGCTAACACTTGCATGACCAGCAAAGCAGGGAATAAAGACTGGTGAATCATGTGCCGCAACTTAGATCTTCCACCCTGCAGGGACACATCCCTTTTCACAGGTCAAAGCAAGTCATGCGACTACTCCTAACTTCAAGGTTGCACCTGCCAGAAAGGGAAGTCAAATATCTTTGAACAGTACTAACAACTCCCCAAATCCACCCTTCAGTCACCAAATACTCTCAGGTCACCCTCATTCCCACACACAAAATATACTCATCCCTTTTTCAAGAGTGACAATTCCATCTTATCCTGGCCACATGCCCAGAGTTGAGGATTACTGGGTGACAGACTGAAGTGCCAGGTGGCGGCGCCTCATGAACTTACAAGAAGTTACCTATTCCCCATCTGTTCAATATATAACAGAAGGTCAGTAACAATAACAAAACATATATACTCTTTGGAAAGGGTAGAATGGGAGCCATACCGCAAAGCCCAGCGGGTGGCAGTTCTGGCCCTCTGCTCGTCAGTTTGAGTGCTCTCAGCCAGAGGCTCCAGCAG